GACTAGCTGGTTCAATCTGCACATGTTGACAGAAACCACTTCCCTGATAGGCCTCCCCCCACCCTTTCTGTCTAATATTTAGAACTGGGGTTTCCCTTTCTAATTTAGTCTATAACTCGCAAGCTTTTTAACACCATGGTCCTTTCCCCATCTTTATCACCCACCAATGTAGACATTGCTTTAGGGAGATTTGGCTCAGTTTTCTCCCTTGGAAACTTAGAACTTCATGCTGGTTTTCCAGGGAAGAAAAGAAAACCCCATGGAGCAGGGAAGAAATGCATAACTGAAATGGGCCTCTTGTTTCAAAACAAAAGCTGAGTTCAGGGAAAGTTTTTCATCATCTTGAAGATGAATCATACAAAACAAATCCAATATAATAAATTAGCTGAAATCTTCCACTGAACTGGATAAAGCAAAAAATAACATAAAAATAACATAAAATAAAAAATGCTGCCACAAACTCTCCCATGAAACTGGATGAAGCTATTCATTCATTATCTTCCAATGAAAACTTCATACACTTGAGACTGAATGGAATTTAAAATGAGAGCTTAGAAGGCAGTAGCTTTGGATCAGGTAACAAAAGAGGGGTTGGGGTTGTTTTTGTTGTTGTTGTTCTGCCTTTGCTTAATTTGAATTCAGTTCATGACATTATTATTACAGTCATAGCTTGGTTGTCGAATGCCTTGGAAGTGATTGTTCCAATTTTTGAACGATTTGTGGAAGCCAAATGTACGGTGCGGCTTCCGCAGCTTCTGATTGGCTGCAGGAACTTCCTGCAGCCAATCAGAGGCCACACTTTCATTTCTGAACATTTTAGAAGTTGAACGGACTTCCAGAATGGATTCTGTTCAACTTCCAAGGTACGGCTGTATTATCATCATCGTCATTATTATAATTATTATTACTTTTTATTAAATTTGTATATTTCTGTTCATCTGAAGATCACAGGGTGGCTCACAACATAAAAACACAAAATGAGAACACAAAATACATAACAGTAAAAGAAAAACAAACCAATAACCCCCCTCCTACAAACACATTTTAAAAGCCATAGAATGTTAATCAGCCAAACCCGGTTGAAGAGAAAAGTTTTCACCCGGCACCTACATTTATGTAATGCAGGCATCAGGTGAGTCTCCATGGGGAAGCAGTCCAAAAACAGGAAACCTGCACTGAACTCATAGGTTTTCACAGGTTGAGGTCACAAGAACTTGGGTTTGAGCGTATATCACATTAACAATTAAGGCCACTGAGACATGAGAACTAGTTGAAGGAAGCAGGGATATGTGAAAAACACAACACTCCATTTCAATTAGCCTTTCAATATACTTTAGTTGAGATCCCTGCATTGCAGGGGTTTCGACTAGAAGACTCTACAATTCTATGATTCTATGAGGAACCTCAAAATTTGCCTCAAAACTTCAAATTATGTTTTATATGTGAAACATATTTTAGTGGCTAAGTAATTCCACCAATTGTCGGCACTATTCACCTTGCCCAGATGAAGCATCAACACTCAGAATCGTTTCCAAGAATAATTGAATTTATATTGACTACAAATGTAAGGACATAGTCATCAAACTTAAAGAAATTATGTTTTATATGGCATATTTTATGAGTATTCCACAATTGTCGCACATTCACCTTGCCAGATGAAGAACACTTCCCCACTAGACAACAAACTAGAACAAGGATGAGTTTAGCCACTGTCGTTAACATTGCAGTAAGATACATAATTTAGGAATAGGGTGAATAATAAAAGTCTTCATTTATTTTTGACCAGTTTTTTATACATTTCCAGAATGGTTTCTTTGTGACTGTTTAATGATAAGTTGCAACTATTACCGTGGCACCTTCGCCTGCACTGTGGTAGATCAATGTTGTTATAATCCTCATCTTGCAGAGGGCTAAAAGGGAGAGGCTGGTCAAAGGGCACCTTTTCAGTTGCTGGCTGACTGACACAGGATTTAAAGCAGGGAGTTCATGAGTTGCAGTTCAATCTCTTGGCCATTCTGACTCTTGCCTCATGGCTGGTACAGTTCCCCACAAACCACTAGTCTCCTCTCCTGAGTAAGACTCCAGTCCTCCTTCCCCCAGTGCACACTCATCCGTGTCCTCCCAGTTCCTGACACCCTACCATCACCCTGACACCTGATAGTCTTTCAAAAATGCAATCATAGGTAAGCTGTGCCACATGTGTGGTGACTTCCTACACAGATGTGGCAATCAGCACCGTGCTATCCCAAACTGCACAACAGAGGGGTTTTGATGGGATGGTGACAATTTCTGGAGCAATGTAGAGAATCATTGGACATGAACAGGTTGCCATGTGGGGCAATCTTCATGCAGCTGTGCTTTCATGGGACTATTATGCTGCTAATAACACATGTGAATTTGGACATTCAAGCTTTTCCAGAAATGTTGCTAACAATTTAACTGATGCCAGTTACTTTGACTGAAGTATTATATGGATAAGATGGGATAATCTCCACCCGGCCATTCTATTTCCTGGAGTGCCTTAGTGCCTAAAGCTAAGCTAACATATGGCTCACATAATCAATTATCAGAGAGTGGGCCTACTGGTGAACCTAGCAATATCCCAAAAGTGGATACACATATAGCATCCCTCCAGACATATGAGCAGTCCTGACCATTCCATAGTATGCAATTCACATGGAGAAACAAGGTTCAGTCTAGCAAAGTTGAGTGCCTTTAAATCCTACTTATTCTAATATTATTCCAACTGAAATTTCATTCTTCTAACCAATTGTTGTTAGTTGACCTTAAGTCTTACTTGCAGCCATCATGTTCAAGGGGTTTTTTAATGGTCCATGTGAATGTATACACAGTGTGGGAGGCAACTATATGTGGTGTGAACAGATCTTACTATGAAGAAATCTCACATCTGTAATAACAAGTTTTAGAAAAAAACTAATGAAACGCAGTCAATAAATCTGAGCGGTACACGTTGCTCTTATGCTCCAGCAGGGGCATCTGTTAACAGAAGAGAAGGGGTGGCAATTTTTACAAGTTTGTCCTCCTTCCTGCAGTCCCTCAACCCACCTCAACACACACTCTGTTCTGGTGGGCCCAAACCATCCAGAGCAGATTTTCAGGGGAGACTGTGGAAGGCGGAATTGGAAGTAAATGCTTCCCTTTCTGTTCCATTAGCGGACACCTGCATTGGATATACAACCCCATCTTCAGAAAGATAGTAAGACAGTAAGAAAGGTGAGGCCCTATGATTATTGCTTTTTCTGGGCTTTTTCTGAGTTTTATCATCTTTGCACTGATAATGCCAGGTCAAAAGGCTGAAGAACCTCCATCTGAGGTTCAGAAAAACTGTGGATGGGGTTGAGGAAAAATCCCTTGAGCTAGATGGACCATTGATCTACTCTGAACAGGGCAATTCATTTTTCCATTTCGTATGTACTCATTTCCAGACTTACTGAGGCTGTTTCATGCCTAAGGTTACATGTATGGAAAGATTTGCTTCATGACAACTGGAGCCTAACTACTCAAGAGTGCTCCAGTTGAAGAGAACTAGATCTTCAGACTGTCAGAAAAGGCAGGGTGATTTCAGTCACAAAAAATAACCTAAGCATTCATAGCAGTCAAAACTAATTCCTGCACTAGAAATATATACTTCAAGCCATTTAGAATATAACCCTATGGTCCCTGAGAAGGTATTTTAGAGGCCACTGGATCCATTAGATCTCATTTTCTCTACTCTCAGAGATCTCATATTGGAAGCTGTGGGAAGATCAACTATCAATCCTGCTTCAATGTCAGAGCTCTAATATCAAAGATAGTGAAAGGAAGACATTCTGGAGAGGGTGTTGCCTTCCTGTTCTCTCAGCAAGCTCACAAAGTGGGGAGGGAGCAAACTATGCCAGTCCTGGAGCTGGAGTACTCCTTACCAATGTTTCCTATGGGGGGGGGGGAACCTTAACAAACAAATTAGGAGGGAGAACAAAATGTCATTAGTGCATTGGGAAATATCATTCCTCAACTTTCGGTTGTCCTTCACCTGTACCTTTGGATTGCTCTGTAAACATGTGGAATGACAATAGGGTCAGCCTTTCCTGCATAATTATAGAATATGAATCACCTCTTATCAGTTTTGTTTGTTTCCATAGGCTTGGAGTTCTTCAGTCCACCATCTTATTGTGGATCTTCTCATATGTTTACCCATCCTTGATGAAAAATGGAAATACTGTGGCCTTGATCCAGAGAAACACAAGTGGAAATGAGGATGGCCTAGCCCTAGAGTAACTTTTCAGCACTTCAAAAAGCTCCACTTGAGCACTTGGGGACCCGCTTGAATGAGGTGTGTTGTGATGTGAGGGGCTGGGGTGGAAGGGGGAGACACTGAAAGTTGGGTAAAAACACCTTCCATGAGCAGGAAGGTGCCTGCCTGATTTTTTGCCTTTCCCCACAGCAACATAGCCCACCTCATTTATAAGAATCCTCCAGCCCTCAGGAGAGAGGGCTGCCAAGAGAAGGGGAAGTCATTTGAGGTCAGTTCCACTTCCACTGACACTTCTCCACTGGTACAATCATTCTAGGCTAACCTGCAAAATTGACTGTTTCTTTTCTGGTGTTCTTCATTAATACTAGATACAGGTCAGTCAAAGTGCTTAATTGCTGGTTATACTCCTTTGCAGCATGAAAGCTACAACACGTTTTCCAAAGGAGGTAGATGGACTTGTACATATTTCTAAGGAGTCTCATATTTTGGAACCAAAACAAGTTAAATCTGACACTGAAGGTAACATGCTAGTTCTAATTATCTCTAATACACCTCTTATTCCCACCCACCTGACAATGATAACACAGAAATTGGGTATTTATTGACTAGCATGCCACATCTTTTCCCAATATCAATTAGACATCAAATTAATGCATGATTTTTAAAGTACTATATGTATTTCTATATCTAGATGTACATACACAATGAAATAAGGAATCAATGAATTAATATGTATTGGTCTTACCTTAAATTCCTCCAAGATTTTGTAGCTTTTCCCATGGTATTCACAAAAGTTCCTCACTTCTTTGCATTCTGGGCAGCATCCATTGTGTTCTACTTTAGTACACTTTGGGTGGATTTTGGGGCATTCTGGTTGGTCACAAACAGGTCCATCCTCAGTACAGACACATGGACAGTTGGAATGCCCTGGAAAAAACCGCTCTCCCAGTTTGTATACAAAACCACTGTCATCCACACAACCTTTCCCTCGATAGTCATCAAATATCAGATTATTATCGTTATTTGAGATTTGATCACCTTCATCAGCAGGGTAGTCTTCATGGTTGAAGGCAGCTGGAGTGACCAAACTAGGAATTAGCAACAGAAATATGCAGGCTTCATGAATATGAAGAGCCATCCCCCTCCTCAACTTCTGTATATGGTCCTAATATCAGATATACACAGATGCTTCCATGGAGAGGCCAGAGTGGTGGGCTGAAAACAAATATTTTAAATAGGTACAATTTGAAACATATATAGCTATATAGCAGCTGACAAACATTAACTAATTAGAAATCCTGTCTTTTTAAGAACAATGGGGTCAAATCATTAGGTCATGTATGTAATACTAGCATAATCAACTGGAAATATGTGTACATAATTTGGATAATCCTCAAGCTATATTGGCTCTGTCTAATGCCAGGAATCGGTGGTTTATCTAACTTCATCTGGATAGCACGCACAATGTGTACTTCAATATAAACATTCTCCTGGTTAAATTAAACAACGTTCACAGAATGAAATTGTATAAAGCAGTGTATTGCTAAATCTCAATGGATGATGAGCTATATGCCTTCAACTTGTCTCCAGATAACGCATCCATCATTCGAACTAGAAAACTAAAAGGGAATGCTAATCCAAAATGGATTGGACAATATGCCTATTAGCCAAGCAAGTTAAGAATTGATACTTCTTGACATTAGACAGACTTCTATGTGACAAACACATTAGTCACATGTTCAATATTTCCCATGGTGTTTGCATAAATACAAGCAATTTGTTGTTTACATCTAGGTGGCATGCACATTTGCTTACTCACTGGTGCAGAGATTTTTTTTGTTAATTGTTAAGAGGATGAATTACAGGTGAATGAGACTTTAATGGAATTCAGTCTAGAGACCATAATCGTTTCTACTGGGATCACAACTCAGCACTGCTTTCAACCCACCTCAATTGGTTAATTAAAACAAAGAGGTAAATATGCCAGGTGTTTTTATGGGAAGCAAGAGGTTAAAGAGAGAATGATTCTGAAATGTAATTACATTTAGACTTCGAATGAGAAGAAAATGGTGTACCAATTCTACTACTGAGTATAATGAAAAATGTTTGGTTGTGGTACTTATCTGACAGAAATCAAAATGTGTATTTCTTTATGTCTTTTCTATATGAACTGATTCATAATGGCTTCTTTTTCTTAGCCAGTAGCCTCCAGTGTGCCTTACAGGGGCTCAACATCACTGTAGCACTCATATGTATGAGTCCTGGTGGATCCTGAGTGGCTGTGTTTATACTTGGATTTGCTAACTGATTATCTTATTTTACATTTCCCCTTGCCTTATCTTAGGGCATCTAACATCATCCCCCCTAGTCTTAGGGCATCTAATATCATATCAAAATATACAAGGAGCATGTACAAGGAGAAACCTACTAGGCATACTTAATTATTTCAATAGGCCATGTCAACTTAGTATCTCACACACCACCATATACACACAGATAATCCACAGAATTCAGAAAGGAAGGCATGTACACAGATTGCCTGGTTTCAAAACGAAGGGGAGTCCTGCCTTTCCCTCACACTCTACTTCTATTTTGCTGCTTTACTATTGGCTGTGCTCACTCTGACAGACTTACTCCTGTAACACTCTTCTTGCCCAAGAGCAAGAGAAGAAAAGGGTGGGAAGGAGGGTTTTTATGAAATTGGAGAGAAAACAGAAATTCTATAAATTCTAATTTTATAATAAAAATCTTCTATGGCAAGAGTTATTTCAATTAATTGGATGTGTGGCATAGAGTTAAAATCAAAACAATCTTCTTACCTCTTTTGAATCTCTTTCTGTCTGGGACCAACTTAACAGTGGTCTATATCTAACTGATATAGACATGCTAATAATGATAGGATATGTAATTTTTATACCGACATGTACACAATGAATGTGTATCATTTATATGCACATCTGTATATGCATCTATATACTCCAGGTTCTTTTAAAAAGAAAATGCTGCCAAGCAAGAATGACTCAGGGAAAAAGCAAGCCTTGCATCTTGCAGAACAAACTAGATGATCCTGTTGACAAAGCAGTTTATTCAGTGCTGAGAGAAAGCAAAGAAGGGGATTGGGTGTTTCACATGTCTGCTCAGAATGTTTCATTACTTGAAGTTCAAGATATGCTTTTACCACAAGAGTACATCCTACAGCAGTGGCAAGAGCATTTGGCTCTGTTTTATTTGTGTTGCAGAACTGTTTAGCCTGCCTTTCGGATTCAATCAGAGAGACACTTACATGCTACAGGTAGGCTCCAGTGAGCCCATGCTTAAAGCTGTGGAAACTTTAGAAAACAAGCAAATTGCAAAAAAACTGATTTATAGTGGGGACAACAGAGAACAACCTATTGAATAAAATCAAGCATTGTGAATAAAAAGAAAACAAATTTCACAAAGGATTAACATTGTTAACAATACTTTCCTACAGCATTTGGCCATTGTGGGTATTTTGTTAGAACTTCATTAGCCTGTGTTTTTATAGAGAGAGGAGGGATGGAATAGAATGAAAATCTATTCTGTTGTTTAAAAATTCAACATGAAAATAAGCTCTGGAAAGCTATCACTGTACAAATTTATTCTCTTTTATTATTTCTGATTTTAGGGGATTTTAAATTCTCGAGAAGTCTACATTTTATTTCATTGTAAAATGTATACTTACCTATTCCAAGTGAAAGCTGGAAAGGGTTACAGGCCACCATAGATTAAAATTTCAGCAAGTCCTCTTAATTACACTCCCAAGAAAGAATCATGGAAAATCCCTTTCCCCAATGCCTCCCATTTCACACAGGAAACCCGGCAGATACACCAAGAGACTGAAGCTTTAACCCTGTGTTCAGAATTCAAATCAACAACCATAAGGGGATCCAGAGGTGAGGCTGCTTGCTATAAAGCTACACTCCAAAATTATGGTCATTGTTGCTAGATTGTTCTTTTATCTCCTTATATCCTTGGTTGCAATCTTCAGTTCCACCCCCCACCAAAAAAGACCCCCACCAGATCACGCCGCTCTGTATATCTGCAAAAAAGCAGGCAAGGGTGGAGAATGTGCTACGCTTCCAGTTCCAGAAACAGCAACAGCAACAGCATGCTGGAGCTTAGAGCCAATCCAGACCGAAATGCAGTCAGCAGCACCATCGTGTCAGTGTGGCTTTCCAGAGGCTCTCCCCAAAACAAATGATAGAGGACGTGTGGGTTTCAAGCACGGCAGCAACTTTTGGCAAGATTCAGCACTGAACAGCAGCACCTTCGGAGCACATTCTGCCGAGCCGATTCTGGGATCCTTCAGCACCACGGACAGCAGCCGGCGATTCGCATTTTGCATCATGCAGGCGGCGGAACGTGCCGCTCCTTTGGGCGAAGAAAACAAATCCTACGCTTCTACTCAGTGGGTCCACGTTCACTCTGGGAAGCTTTCCCTAGACGGAAGGTATTTTCTAAATTACCCATAAATATACTTTTGCATTTGACAACTCCCTTCCAAAGAAACAAAACAGAAACCCTGCCGATTTCAAAACGGCAGAATCAGACGAGACTGCAGGGCTACGTTCCAGGAAGTGGCAGTCGGTAGATTGAGGCTCTCTGCAGTTACTGAATGATGAGGCAAGGGTATCTGTCAAGGCATTGGTCTGAAACTTGCACATTCTTGTTTTGCTGTCAGTCAGAATTACTACTTTAAAAAATACATTTGTGTGTGTGTGTGTGTGTGTGTGTGTGTGTGTGTGTGTGTGTGTGTGTAGATCTGTATTGAACTCTAAAGAGTAGATGGATTTAGAGGTTATAACAAGTTAAATATAGCACCACTGCCAGAAAAGTATATTTTCTCTTCTGCCTTGTGCTGTAGTACCTTGGTATTGGTGGTGGGGATAATTTCCCCTGCAATTCATCTCCTCTGTCATTAGGCGTCATTGTAAAGCTATTTCTCGAGGAAAATACCAAATGATAGCTTCCTTTCATGCATTCTTTATTGCCAAATAAACAGGCATGATTGCAAAAAGATAGTGTGTGTACATATATATATATATATATAAATTAAACTAAGATATGAAAACTTTGCTTTATTTCAGATAATGGAAATACAGTTTAAGCCACCTGCACTGCTAGGAGGGTGCAGGAGAATTACTGTGAGATTTAATAAAATAGTGGACAAGTGTCTCAGTTCCAAATGCGAACGGTACCATCAGAGCCACCCGAGACCAGATGTTCTGCCTTGTGATCAAAAACGATGCTCTGAACTTCATCTTCATGGCCCAACAAGCTGGACAGATGACCCGATTTGAGTTCTAAGGTCTTAACAGTTCCATCGTTGCTTGCGAGAGCTACAATACGACCTATAACATAGAGCAAGGAGATCAGAGGTCCAGAAGACAAGAGTAAAGAAGCAACTTTGGCAGCTCCGTGCCTGAGGCTGTAGACTCTCATGTTCAATTTATCCATTTTCTGCACATAACTGAGACTCAGATAAGCAAGCACTTTTAGCACAAAGTACATAAAATCAATGTTTAAAAGAGATTAGATCTGAGAGTGATTAAATAAACCTGAGGATTTCACACTGCCATTCAAGTAAACAAAACTGTGGTGACCATTGTTTAATATAAGGCTAAAATGCTTTTAGTTCAGTCATTCATATTCTGAAATCAGGAAGCAAAATTATGAATTAAAACATGAAATAAATCTGTAAATTAAATATGCAAATCAATAAAATGATTTTTTAAAACAAACCTTAAGTTTTTTGCATAATATTTTTACCATAGTTATATATATAAATAAAATTTAGATTGTAAGGCGCCATAAATGTTTAGCAATGAGAGCATGAACGTTTGCTATGCATTGAAGTCAAAAACTGCCCCCCAAACTGAAGACAGCTACTTATCCAGCAAACCCTTGGAAGCAGAGGGTGCCCAGTATGTACACAAAGAGGTCCATTTCCTGCAATACCCCTCCTTGCAATGGAGTCAAAAACTAAGAGCTTCCAACTTGATTTGAAGGAAGTGGGGGAGCCCTTTGAATGCTTACTCTGTAATCTAGGTAAAAATATGGACCAGAGAGAATAGACATTTCAATGGCTCTAAAATGCAAATAGCTATTGAAAACATAAATTATATCAGATGCTGAGCAAGAATCATTTATTTGTAACCCATAGAGAGAGAGATTGTGAATGTGGAGGACAGAAAAGGGTGTCAAAGAGGGCTGGGGAGAATATCTAGAAGCAGCAGAGATCTACATTTTCCAAAAACTGGCAAGGGCTGGTACTTCCAACTCCATCCAACTCCATTACAAACCTAAACCTCCATTACAAACCTAAACCTCCATTACAAACCTATGATTGAGGCAAAGGCTGTACATACACACTGCCCTCTGTTGCCCTCTATTGCCAGTAACTCAGTGTTCCAGCATGAAAGTTTGGGTGGCTAAAGGGAAGTACATGTTTTATTGGTAGCATTCCTTCAGGCAAGCAGAGGTTCCCAAAGCAGGAACCTGTGACAGCCTCAAGGTCAAGAGTTGGGAGCGATAACTCAGATCCTTTTGACCCTGGACACATGATGGAATCCATGGAAAGAGACCCTGAAGAGGTCCAGCACAGGACTTCATGGCTGCCATGAGGGGCTGCCCCAACATGTCATCAACCCAACGCATGTGACAGGCTACACCTTGGACCTTGTTTCCCAACTGGGCAGGAAGAGGGTGATCTGAATATTGACTGCGGCCCCTTCCTATTGTGATTTAGGCTGCCTCTGAAGACGGTTTGGAAACCTCAGCTGGTGCAGAATTCAGTGGCCAGGATGCTCACTGGGTCAAAACAGTTTGAGCATATAATGCCAATCCTGGCCTGGCCTGGCACTGGCTGACAATTAGTTTCTAGGCCCAATTTAAAGTTCTGGTTTTAGGCTACAAAGCCTAAAACAGCTCAGGACTGCAGTACCTCAAGGGCCACTTCTTCCCATATGAAATGTCCTGGACCCTGTAATCATCATCTGAGGCCCTTCTCTGTGAGAAGTCCAGAGGATGGCAACACAAGGACAGGCCTTTTCTACAGTGGCTCCTGGCTTGCGAGATGCTCTCCCCGGGGAGGCTTGCCTAGTGCCTTCACTACGTATCTTTAGGCACCAAGTAAAAACATTCCTCTTCTCCCAGGCCTTGGGGTGATTGAACAATCTATGGTATTTTAAACTGTTTGTGTGTGGGGTGTGTGGGGTGTGTGGGGGTGTTATTGTTTGTTATTGTTTGTTACTATGGTGAAGGGCAGTATAGGAGTTTAATAAATTGTTATCAATATTATAATGAATCTGAATAACTCTTCCAGTATGCCTTCAGTTTCCTGGGGATCTTTCTACTTGCTAAAGTTACTTGGAGCTACTGAGAAGGGTCCTGTTAGCTGGTCCAGTGCTGCTCTTCTAAAGCTTTGGCAATGTAGCACTATCATCCCAGGTTCCTTACTCACCTGGCTAGGCTTCATGAGGAACTTAGAAGTGGGATTGCAAATGTTCCCACTTCTCTATGTCATATCACTGCCCTCTACCATGAAGTATAGGCTACCACTCATAGGTTAGGACATTGTGACACTGTCCAAGGATATTAGAATCCAAATTGTTAGTACTATACCAGAATCACAAACAGGAAACCATTTTTTTTTAAAAAAGGAGAAGGAGGAGCTGGCTAAATATCAGGAAAACCTTTCTGACAGAAAGAGCTGTTTGACAGTGGAACAGACTCACTTGGGAGGTGGTGGACTCTCCTTCCTTGGAGGTTTTAAAGCAGAGGTGGGATGGCCATCTGTCATGGATGCTTTAGCTGAGATTCCTGCATTGCAGCGAGTTGGACTAGATGACCCTTGGGTCCCTTCCAACTCTACAATTCTTTGATTCTATTATTCTACCCCAATATGCTATTGTAGAGAGATCACTTAACAGCTAAAGTTAAGCTAGGATCTGGTATGTTATATATTTGAACTACTCTCTAAACGTACCTGAGAAACTCCTAATAACTTAAATGTAATAATCATGAGTTTCACATACAATCAAAAATCAATAAAATCATTTCAAAGCAGATGTGGTCCTTCCAAGAAAGACATCACTGCAATTCAAGTAATGATTACAAGCACTTTTGGGGTAAAGCAGAAAGTTCAGAAAGCCCTTTGTGTGTTCTGGTATATGGTTTAAAAAATTACCCTAAGATGAAGAATTTGTTTTTTCCAGGTCAAAGGCTGACTTGAACTCCACCCCCATTGTTCAGCCTGGACACTGAGGTCCAGCTCTGAGGGCTTCTGGCGGTTCCCTCACTGTGTGAAGTGAAGTTACAGGGAACCAGGCAGAGGGCCTTCTTGGTGGTGGACTGCCTTCCCTTTGGAGTGCCCTCCCATAATAAAATTATTGTTGCTGTTGTTATCGCTGCTGCTGCTGCTGTTATCCCTTCTCCTTAATTCATAAATAGTCCCAGAAGCCAATAGTAACTTGCCATTCTGAGGATAAATAATAATAATCTTGATCTGATGATAATAATAATAATAATAATAATAAATCTTGATCTGATTGAAGCAGTGGGATTTAACATTGCAACTATCTCACTTCATAGTTTCAATGAGACTCACTGTGCCAATGCATTTTCTCTTATACTCCTTTTAAAACCTGCTCTATCCCCCCATGCCTCACGCTGCATTTTCACAGCTCAGAATGGGCCTTCCTGCATGACTTCTTAATACTAAATGGGTGTCCAGCAGATGCTTCTAATGACCAACTTACCTTTTTAACCTTATTTCTTGCATCTTTGCAACAGCTCTGTGAAGTTGGGTACTATTAGGGAAATTGACAAAGGCTACCCACTACTTTCAATGGGTTCTACTCTATTGCTTTCAATGAGATTTTGCCATGGCTAACATCAGTAGAAGAATTTGAGGTTATGAATTATTACATTGATCCAAGACTTTTATGTGAATTTTAGACAGAAGCTTCAATTGACAATGAGCTAGAGTTAATCTAGCTGAGGGTGCAGCCCCAATCCCCTTTGCACCAGGTTGGTGGGTGGGTGCTGGATTGGGCAGAAGTTCTCCTTCACCCAACCCTGCCAGGCTCCCCCTGTGGGGTGATGCCAGCATCAGCCTGCTGGCATGGAGCTCCCCTTCCACCCACTGAATGTGCAGACAGGCAAGATCCCTGTCTGGTGGCGACTAGTAGAAATCCCAAAATGGTGCACTCCAGAGGTGGAGAGGGGCTGAGATGGCCCTCTGTGCAGTCACGTGATGGCACTGGGTCCAGACTGGCACAGGGCACTGAGCACCAGATACAGCCCTGCCTCATTTCCATCCTGGCCAACATGAGCAGCAGGGCTATGGGTAAGGCAATAGCACAACTACTGTGTTAAACCATGCCAGGCCCTGGCCAGGGTTTAGACTGCATCCTCAAATGCACTTAAGTCCCATTGAAATGCGTGGGACTTAGATCATGAACCACTGAGTTCAATGGAACCTAAACTCAACTAACTTAATCTTGATCCAACCCAATGTCTGTTCCCTTTCTTGAGATGTATCCTGTTTTCCTCTGCTTGGAATTCTGTTAGTGATGGTTTACAGAATTTGCAAAAATGAAGCAGAAAGCAGAATAATTAATTCTGCTATAGGATATGCTGTACTAAATTCTAGTTACACAACTCTGAGAATGGAGAAAGGAATTAAACAAGTAAGCAG